GTTGTCTAAGGCATCTAAAAAGCACTAACACACAGCGATGGCGAAACCAAGCAGGGTGCATCCGAGTACCTCATACAGCACTAAGGGCTTAGATGTGGGCAGCTGAACTGGGCCCTTCATACACATGTGGGTGCCTATGTCTCAGCATCTAAATGCAGGTGCTCCCCATATGGCAATCAATATTACACATTTCAAAGAATTATTAAAGTTTTCCAAGTTTATCACACCTTCAGCGTATTTGTTACAGCACAGGTACTTAACGTTAGAATAAGTACCTCAACTATCATGCCACACCAAACTCACCAAAAGCAGGTAGGACAGCACCCCTGATACTGCTTGTTCCTAAGAAAAAATTGTACTTGAGCTAAACATGTAGGCAAGTTTTGGGGAGACACTGGGTCAAAGCTAAACACTGTTTTTTTCACCCCGGACTGAGTGCCAAAATTCAACCATTACTTGCCACTTACTACTCTTCTATGGAGAGCTCTGTGAATGATCCGATGAACCAGTGGCGAGACCGTTGACGGCACATACAAGAACACATCTCTTTGGGGGAAGAGGGAGGAAGAGAGATTTGGGAAGACTGTTGGAACGACCACAAGCAGCACAGCATGCAGCATGTGCAATTTTGATTAATTATGAATGATGCTTTCCACATACACTGAAAGCAGTAACACCTTAGCCCCTCCATCTATCACACCCCTCTTCCTCATTTGCCTTGGTAAACTGAAACAGCATGGAAACACACTGTCCATCATACTGAGCTTCAGACAAGTTCTTGTTTTGCAGTCTACCTCCATTTCAATGTGTAGGAGTTCCTGAAAGACATTGTTGCCAAGATGACGAGAGGTGCCGACGAGAAGATGTTGTCGTAACTCAGACATGCTTGATGCAGCAAACACTTGACTCCTTGTCTGACAACAGCACACAGCCGAAGTAAAACGTTTCTCACCATCAGTATTTGCCACTTATGTTGATCAGTGCTGCATGAGTCAGAGGCTGAAGGTGCAGAAGCTGAAGAGATAATTCCCCTCTAAAGATAGTGGTACAGGCTATTATAGGACTGTCTGCCATTCCAGCAAACAGGGAACCGAAATCACATGTCTGTCTTCTCAGCAACATCAATCAGATTATCCAACACCTCGAAGTTCTTGAGGGCAAAAGGCAACCAGGTGGTGAAATTGGTGGCCTTTTCCATTTATACACTTTCTAGTTAATGAACTAGGAGTTTACTATTTTTAGTGCCCTGAGGTTTCCATGTGGGAATCCAATGCTTAAGTTCCACTGACATGGAACAGGAAAAAAAAAATCATTGCAAAAAGCATTTGGGGATCATACAAGAAGATTGCAGCACCACATCCCACTGTCATTCCTGTATCAAAAATGCCCCATATCCTTCTTTGCTATCTCCCCAATAAATTTTCTGCAAGCCCATCAGTGCTGTCCCATTCTTGCACCTCACTGGCACGGAAAGCAACACTGGAATTAGTACGGCACATATGCTGTGCCAGCAAACACCCACGTTGCTCTACCCTCTGTTAACATCAGCCTTCTTTATACATTGCCACTTGTCGATTATACTTCCCCACCGTGTCTTAACTTTGAACGCAAGTGCTTTTGGCACCAACCTGTCATGTCTTATTTGTCAGGAAAGCAACATGCATACCTGCAGCGCTCTATAAATAGCAACTTCGTGTTGTTTTGACCAACACATTTATTTTCTTGCCCAAGGGCAAGCTGTAACCTGTAATGTTACAAACAAGACCCTGACTGAAAACTGACTGTTTTGAATTAGCTTGGGGAAAAGACTGAAGGAACAGGAAAGTAAGATGCAGAAGGAGGAAGAAAATTGTGATCATAATAAAGAATGAAAGGAAGGAAACAGCAACAATGGAGGGGAGCTTAAGTCTTGAATAAGCACCGAGAGACAAATCTGCCAGAGACTCTGGAATACATCTCAAATGCAGTGCAAAAAGCAGCAATGGCTCCGGATAGTTTGGGGGTGACATTACCTCCCACCGCTTTAACAGTCTGCCCTACCAGACCTGGAATGGGAGCAGCATTGACCCCTGCTGTGAGCACTCATCCTGGATTCACAGCACAGCTGCGTTACCAGCAAAGTCAGGAATAAAGAAAGGGAATGAAAATCTGAAAACCCTATTTTGTATTTTACTGCATCCACAAGGGGACATGCAGAGGCCAAGCTCAAAACCCGATCAGTTCTTCTAACCAAACATCAGCCTGCTGAAAGATGCTGCTCTCTCCTGTTTCTTCTTTCTTCACTTGTGGTCATGTTTGCAGCACTTTAAAACAGACTAAAGCAACAACTTTCATGACCAGGTCACAGATTACGTTTTGTAGCAAATTACTGAACAATAAACATACCTCAATCATTTGCATGGGCTGAAATTGCTCGTTACAACTCACAGACCAATCTAGCTGTCACCACTAAACGCGCTTCACACTGTTGACACAACTTGATCTTTAAAACGGCGCTGGCACTTTGCATAGGGAAAAATAAATCCCACTTCTCAGAAAAGCATGCAACCCACCTCCATTGATCCTATTTGGTTGCTGCTCTGGAATTTGGGCTTGAGGAGAGTAGTAGGGCTGTTGATAAGTATTTGAGGGGAAGTGCGGGGAGGTAGGGCTCCTCCTGCAGTCCCGGATACTGGAGAAAGTCTGTGAGTGAGGAATCCCTCTCTGGAAGGGGGAGCAGCGAGTCAGCCGCGGCTGTGGAGGTGGGAGGTGGTCAAACTCTTCCTCGTCCTCAAGACTACAGCGATCGTATTCCTGGTCACCGCACGTCCCTTTCTTTCCCACATGCAGAGAGACGCTCGAACTGTGCCTTGACACAGATGCCGAAGTCGAAGCATAGTCTTGCCTAAGGCCTGTGAATTCCAAGAAGAGGACGATTTGGCTCCTGCTAAGCGATTAACTCTTTAACATGCACTTCAAACTTGAAAACTAAGCAGGTAAGTAGACATAATTTTACAGCAAGAATTGGATTTACAATGTCACCAGGCTGTAGGTCTGAGGTAGAATTCATCTGATCTAACTTTTGGTGTCTACCTTTCAGGCATTTGAATTATTTCCCTCAAGATCCCTTTTTTTAATAAAAAACAGAAGAAGAATAGTAATACAGGCATCTCCAAAATGCAGTAGGTGTGAGATGTCTTAGATGCTTCTTAACATAAGATGAATTGCCTTATGGAGGCACCTATTTCTCTGCCGTTATTCTACTGAATATTCAATTTCAATTGAAAGACCACATGAGTATCAAGTATTTAACTTTTAAACACTCTTAATTAGAGGATTAACACTCACTCTATTAGTTTTCCAAGTTATTGCTATTAAACTTTTATATTCATGCAACGAAAATGCTGACAATGACATTTCCTAAACTTAAATAAAACCCATGTAAATATTCTGTCTCTCCTACCTCCCTGAACCAGAATTAGTTCTTGCTAGCAGCCGGTCTCAGGCTTAGCGGCAACACAGCTGTGTTTTAGACAGGTACGCATCTTACCACCCCCTTCTCAGTCGGCCAGGTTTTGAAAACCATCCCACTATTAGCAATGCCCCAGAAGAGCATGTTTACTCCAGGTGAAGTTGAGATCCACGGCCCTTGTATGTCCCCCTTTTCCCAACTGCACAGCAGTCAGGCAAAAGGAGGACATACATTGTATTTCCAGGAGCCGAGTAATTCTGCCAATAGATGCAGAAATTTCAAAACTTTCCTAGATTTACCGGAAACGGCTGGACAACAACTGTCACATCCTCAAACATTCTGTACCAGCTGCTACTGCAAGGATGAGATACAACCATTATACCTGACCTAGATCAGAAAAAAACCAGTGGTTTTCCTTCCAGTTCACCAATGACCTGATTCCTTAAAGAGCTAAGTACCTGAAATCTATTTTAAACCTCGCTCTGAAGGAGATGACAACAGCCGTTATTTAAGTAACGCAATCCTTTGCATCTTTGACAGTCTTTTTTTTTTTTTTAAATTATTATAACTTTCTCATAATATCAGAAATTTTCTGAGCCGTGACCACACACATTTGCCAGCTGAGGATTCAGCTATCATGGAAAATCTCACACTTGCTAATTTCTCTGCTGAGTATAACAAGCGCTACCAGATGCTCAGCGAGTTCAACTGCTGACCAGTGATCGCGCCGACCTGCTCAGTCTGGTTGCTGCAGCCAGACCGCAGCTCTAATTTCTTCTTCACATTCCATTTTTATTTTATTTAATCACTTATTACTTGGCATTTTCCTTCAGTTACCATCTCTGAATTTCTCTTGGTTTTCATCTCATCCTTTCCTCCTTGATGTCTCCCTTGGCACTAATAGGAAGTGAGAAAGATACTGCACTTACTGTCCAAGTGACTTCCAAGTCAAATGCCCTTTGTTTATGAATAAAGACATTTTCCCAAAATTACTATCAAGCCAAACCATAGTCTATATCAAACAAACTTTTGGGCTCAGATTTGCGCATAATCACTAGTCTCAACCCAAAACGTTAGATTTAAATGCCCCAATTCAGCATTTAAAGGGGAATTAATTTCAAAATTCATCTGACAATTAAGCAAATCAAAGTAGAGGCAAAGAAATCCATGAGCACTGCTTATTTTTACCTTTCCCATTAAATGTATGCATGAGAAAAATGCTTTAGCATCTTACCTCCCCAGAAATAAAATTATTCTAATTAACGTGGTAAGACATTATAAATCTTCCGAATCTAAATGTACTCAACAGGTATGGAGCTACCAGTTGGGATTCAGAAATATATAAGCATCAAGTTTTGAAAGATCCAGTACCATTAACCTGAACCCAACAATGTGCGCACCTTCTCCATGCAGGTGAAGAGTTTTTCTACCTGCCGCTCAAGAGGCAACACCATTTAGGAAAGACCCACTTGACTGAGACCAGACTGGAGCAGTTACAGAAAATCTTCCTCAGACTGTTTTGAAAAATGAAAAAAAAAGCGCCACCTACTCTCCTCCTGTAGACGAGCCATGATCTGAACATCGGTGAGGTCCTGCAGCTTGTATCCCATGGAGATGGAATCATCCTCCAGCTCCGAGGTGCTCAGTTCACTGTCGATTGATGACTGTGGGCTCAAAGGAGAACTCCTAGAAATGTAACCTATGTAAGAAAACATAACCTTTAGTCTGTGAATATGTCTGGCCATCTTTCAGTCATGACTGTCTGCCCTTTACGTTACAGTAGCTTAAAATATTTTCTATATAACAGACAAAAAAATTGTAGAAGTGTAGTGCAACCCACTAACAATTAGAAAAGGACTTCGATACTCATGAGAAGTAGTAAGTGTAGTAATGGATCGTGACCTCCTCTGCTTGTTCCCAAAGTAGCCTCACACATCCCAGACAATAAGTAATTTACCCGATACAGTTCTGATACAGCTCAGATTAGTTAGTGTAGTCTAAACACATCGGCATTTGAATCCTTCCTAAAGGACTGTGGTTCTCCCTATCCTGTTCTGAAAAGCAAGTGTGCATGTGTCACCAACTTCTGCTCAGTACTCAAGGTTCCACATCAGAGCCATATATCTAAATTTTACTGGTTTTTTAATTGTTTTAATCATCAGATAACTCAATGACAACAACAATTAAGACTGAACATTATGCAACAACAGAGAAAGCATTGCCTCCTTCACAGAGCTACCGCCTGGGGAGGGCTCTGGTTTCTACTTTTTCCCTGCATGATAGTAAAATACAAACTAAACTGCAATTAGTTGCATGAGCTAGTTGTTGCCCAACTTTAAAGAAAAATTCTTCAAATAAAACAGTAAATCACTTTCTAATATCCTCTGGACAACCAGCAGGCAGGGCGAGAACTGCTGTGACGATGGCTCATCAGCTGCGCTTGTATCACAGATGTGTTCACATCCTCTAGCACTGCTCAGAACAGCCACCTAAAATTCATCCTAAATTCAGCTGGTCTCTCATAATACCTCCGACAGAAAAGGACACACAGGGGATTACTTTGCTTTGGAAGGACTGTAAGGGGTAAATGTGTTTGCTTTTTTAAATTTGCAAGTTACAATGGTCCTTGAGGTTTTGTAGAGGTAGTAACAGCTGTGCCCTGCAGCAGCAGCAGTGGGAAGCTAGACAAGATACCCGACGGTATCTCAAATAGCATGAGATGCCTTCACTTAGGAACTAAACTACATTGAATAGGGGGAGCTTAGACCTCTCACTCTCACATAGACACCAACAGTCTGGAGCCGTATCCTCACCCACAGCGCCCATATCCCAGTCAGGGCTTTCTGCACTGATTTCACATGTTGCAAAGCAAATTGCACACAGATCGGTGTGGCAGTGATGCTAGCTTCCTTAGACCACACCTGTTCCCACCAGCAATAAAATGTTAACGCCTCTTCCCCAGAAGATTGTTTTCTTCACTGCCACTGCACCTTAAGAGAAGTTGCATATATAAATTGATTCCTGATACCTGTAGTGAAGAAGGGAAAGTGCAACTCTCTGCAATTTACAGCCCACAGAAAGTTTGTGTTTTTCCTAAAACTCCTGTGTCTCCTGAAAATCAGTAACAAACATAAATCTTGGATAGTAGCAACAATGTCAGCTTGAAAACAGCCATGATTCTGCTGGCTATTTTTATAATAGGTAAGTTTGCCCTGCAACTTCATTATACAGCTGCACAAATGTTTCTGTAGACATAAGGAAGGGGCACAGTGGGGCAGAAATGAGCAGTGAAGTTAACTGCCCAATTTTAGGTCATTTAAAAAAAAAAAAATCTCCCTTCGAGATGAGAGCCTATATACAATCATCTGAACCGTGTATTGCTGTTAAATGCTAGCAAGATTAGATTAAATTAAGCAACTTTGTAAGCACCATAAATCAATAAAAAGACCGGCATTACCTGTCCGTTCAGGTGTTAGTATTGCTTTACTGGAGGTTTTAGAGAAGCTGGGACTGTTAAAGCCATTGGTATATGGGGTGAGTCTCGCAACAGGACTATAGGGAAAAGCCAAGGAGACAGGTGTAGAGAAGAGGTTCCGCCATCGGCTAGCTGTTACAGATTTTTTTTTAGAAAAAAAAAAGATTTTAAGTTATAAATAGGATAGTGCTGTTAGAGAGAAAAATCATCTCATCTTAATCTGTTCATTAGGCACATTTTACTTATGGCAAAAGGAAAACAGTGGTCAAAATTCAGCAGCAAAACAGAGGATCAGCACAGCCTTCTACATCTGAATGTTTCTAAATGTACATCTAAATTTACATCCAAATTTAAAAAGTCTTCTAGCAAAGATGTTGTTCACCATTTTCTACGCGTACACCAGTTTGATATATATTTGTTACATACATCACTGTGTGCCAAAACACAAAGTAACAGAGGAAGTAAAACCCACTATAGTTAAGAGAAACACAGATGACTTGTAGTGCTCTTCGAGGAATTGTTCATGGCAATCAATCGTCACACAAATGAATTAGCAGTTAAATTATCAGTTATGAGAGTTCAGAGGCACAGCAGCAAAAGACGCTTTAACCATCAAGTGCTAAAACCAACTGTAATCCCATAGCAAGCTTTTAGGCTACTGTATTTTTCCTTCTTTTTACAGCATCACATTCCCGATTACATAAGCATGACGCTTTTTTCATTGGTTTTTTAAGGATCAACTGAATAACAGAACAGGGCACCTCTTTTTCTACATATTGCTTACAACAAGCATGCAAGGCATCTGCTCTGCTCAGTAACACCACAGAGAGCACAGAGTAGGCAAAAAAAGCGCTAAAGGCTTATTTAATTTACATTTTCTTAGCTCATCCAGTAAAATACGAATACATCTGTCCTTTGGTTTGCCTATTTTTTAACATGTGTTCAAAAGGTAGAATAAACAATGCCCACACGCTCTTCAGAAAATAAATAATAGTGATAAAGTTGTGTTAAGTAGAAGGAAAAGGCAAAATTTTAAAAAATGTAAATTTCAGAGAACCCATTCAGATACAAGTAAAGTTTGTACAGATGAAAAACAAATGATACTATTGCTCATTTACTTGTGATAGGATCTATTTTGTCCTGACAGAGGTTATGCGGTGATACAAGGGAGGGAACTAGGAACATACCCATACCTAGCTTAGAAATCAATGGCATAACCTTGATGCTTAGCAGGTATACCTTGCTGTGCCTCAAACCGTTTTTCAAAACTAGAAGGGACCAAAAGCCCTCAAAAGCTATTCTCCATCATGTGGCTAGTTAAATACCACAAATTTGCTGTCTTATTTGGACCTGTTGTTCCAGTTGTTTTAAACACAGATGTCCAAATAATATGGAGGCCCTCCCTATTTTCAAACCTCACTGTCAACTTAATGATTTAGCAGGACGTAAGAACTTTATTCTTCCTTCTTGTTAACATCAACACCGAGCGGCCATGGGAAGAGTAGGGAGGTGTATCTCGTTGGCAGGCTGTCAATCTCATCCTTGCAACATTTGGAGCAATCAGTTTCTCAACAGTCCAAAAGATGCCACTTCCCCACTATTCTTTCTGCTTTGTCCCATTCAAAGGTACTCCTGGGTTTGTAAGAAATAACCAGCCTTTACTACTCTTCTCACTTGTGCTACTAAGGTTGGAGTGAAGGCAACCGATGGTTCCATGCACGGGCACAAAGCACTTTGTCAGGGGAGGGGAGTACCCGCAAGGCTCAGTCTCTGTGCAAGGATGCTAAACTAGAGAGTAGTAAGGCATAAAATTGCAAATGGTGATCTTTACAATAATTCTGTGATGAGGCGACAGCAATTTCCTCATTTTTCATGATTCTAGTCCTTCAAGCTTAAGGAAATCTAAAGGTCCTAAATCTTAACCAGGAATGGCATCAGCACCATTTCCAGGAAATTGCTTGATGCCAAGCAACATGACGCAGACTTCTAGGCAGGGCTATTTGTCCATAACATTCGCTAACGTCATCAGTTCAAAAGTCAAGTATGCGAGTGTTCCAGGACAAAAAGCAGAGCAAACGCAGATGGACACAACTCTACAAACTAGTAATTAACACAGATCGCTGGGGATGAGATTAGCTCACAAGGAGTTAATAACTGCAGATTGACTTGAGGTGTTCATTGGAAGAAGTGCACACGATAGAGTAGATCTCAGTATCATATCCACAGCTAATGTCCGTCACCTCCAGTAGAAACCATCAGTAAGGAGCAAGGGATGACGGTTCCTTGTGATTTTATTTTTCTGCCTAACACGAGATCCTGTTTTGTAGTAGCCTGATCATTTGCCAGGCCAATTAGCTGCCAGCGTGTTCTCACCCCCAGATGTGGTCAACCACACAGCACAAATAAACATCATTCATTACTCTCTACAATAACTGCTGTGAGCTGGCCCGCTAAGCACAAAGCAACAGTTATCGTGACTATGAAAGCAAGAACCCACATGAAGAATATAATCAGTATTCATGGCAAACCAGATTCCAAATTCCTCTTTCAAATAGTATGTGTTCTCAAGGAAAGATGGACAAAGAAGCCACGAAACTCCATCTACAACAATCTCTCTATATACTAAATCTCTAAACCATCCCCATTTCTAGAAGTTTTGCCACCACGCCTAAAATAAAGCTTGATGGTGTTCAAGCAGCAGAAGCAAAGGACTGACACTTTCTAGGTATACAATTAACTCCATTGTTTGGGATCAAATATAGAAAAATGTTTTCATCAGGTTTCAAATGGAAATATCAAAGTACATATTGAGTACTTCTGCAGTATTAACGAAGACAGCAAAATTAGACTGACTGAAGTCTTGAGCTAATGCCAAGAACATAAAAAGGTATGTAGAAAGCAAGCGCTACAAACACCTAGGCAAATAAGCAAATTAACGTAAAATTTGTAAAATCCCCAAATTGTGCAATGGATAATCATTTTAGGATCGTTATTTTTCTCCAAACTGATTCTGAGACTGCCCTGGTTAGCATCATAAAACACTGTTACAGTATGCATGGATGCGGATATTTTACCTGTTCCCACTAGGCTGTTTCCAGAGAATGAGACAATGCTGTTAAGACCTTTATTTTATAC